AACTCTCAGCTACCTCTGCAGCACCCTGTCTACCTGCGTGTTGTCATGTTTTCTGCCATGATGACAATGGACTAAACCTATGAACTGTAAGCCAGTCTCATTGAATGTTTTCCTTTATAAGAGTTGCCATAGTCATGGTGTCTCTTCACAGCAATACAAACTGTAACTAAGACAAGTATCAAGCTGGATTTCCATCAACTGTTGAAGAGATAAAGAAAATGTAGTATATATACACAGTGGAATGTTACTTAGATGTGCAGAAAAAGTCTTGAAGTTTGTTGATAAATGGATCAAACTGAAAAATATTATATGCTAGAATAATGTTCAGAAAGATGGTATATGCATTGTTCTCTCTCATAGGCTCCTAGCTTTGAATATTTTTCATGTGTTTAACTTGAAATATATGTAGAAGTCAAGTAATTAGAAACAGGTTTTTGGGAGCACACCTATTAAGAGAAAGGAGATAAGACTATGAGACATATTAGACATATTAACTAGTTTATTATAGGCCCAACAGAGTAGGGAGACTAAAGGAGAAAAATTAGAAATAAAGAAGAAGAGAGGCGGATGAGACATAAGACTAAGAGACATATTAGACATATTAACCAGTTTATTATAGGCCTGGTAGAGTAGGGAGACTAAGAGAGAAGAGAAACAGGGTAAATGGGTGACCACCATGGCCAGTCACCATAGAGAGAGAGAGAAGAGAAGCAGAAGCAGACAGAGAAGAGGAGAAGAGTAGAGAGTGTAGAGAGAGAGAGACGTGCAGAGAGAGAGAGTAAATGGGCAGGGATCTGTCTTTTAAAGGGGTCCTCTGCACCTGCATGCAGACTTACTTCCCATGGAACCCTGGGCTGACCAGGGTACTGCCTGTTCCACCAGGTAACAGGGGCAGGCCAGCATAATGCCTGAACCTTTCAATAAATAGATATAGACCAAGGAAATGGTTCTCAACATTCTTAATGCTGTGACCCTTAATACAATGTCATAGTGACCCCAAACATGAAATTATTTTGTTGCTACTTCATAACTGTTATTTTGTTACTTTACCAATCACAATGTCTATATCTGATATGCCACCCCTGTGAAAGGGTCATTTGATCCCAAAGGAGTCATGACCTAAAGGTTGAACACCACTGGACTAGGGGTGGAAAGGATAAACATGGAGAGGAGTGGAGGATGTAGAAGTGAGGGGTTGAGAAAATATTTAACCAAAATGAAGGGTGAATGAAAAAGCTGTATGGAGACATGTGATCTTGAATCATAAGTAAAAAGTATAATTAAGGGCATAGTAGAACACAAACTAACATTGAAGAATGGGGCAAATACTTTGACGTATAGATTTCAGTGGGAATGGTATCAGAGGGATGAAGGAAAATGGGTTAGATTCTGTGGTGGTTTCAATAATAAATGACCCCCATAGGCTCACATATTTGAACAGTTGATCCCCTTTGGGTGACACTGTTTGAGGAAATTGTAAAAGGAGGAACCTTGCTGGAAGAAGTATGTACCCAAGGATGTAGTTGGAGCACTTATGGCCTTGCTTCACTTCCAGCTCACTCTCTATTTTTGCTTTTGGAGATCAAAGTGTAAGTCAACAGACAAGTGAAGAAGCTACCCCCCTTCATCTAAGACTCTTCTCTTTATAGAAAATGACAACCATCACAGAAAACCACAGCTGGGCACAATGCAGAGATAAACCAGTGGGTCGTGAGGACCCCAGCACCAATGGACACATCTACATCACAGATCCTGTGTCTATGATCAGGTACCATTATGGAAGGGAGGGTGGGAAAGCTAGAATACCAGGAAGTTTTCGCTGAAACAGTTTCTTCTAGAAATGGCTATAGAAACAAGATTGGAACAATGGCAGTATCAATGGACATGTAATGTAAAAGGCACCACCCTAGACAAATAAGTACAGGGAACTAATGACTGTAGAGAGAAGGGAATTGGCCTCTCCTAGGGTTGAATCCCCTTATCCATTGTCTAAGGCAGAGTGGTCAGTCCTGAAACCATAAACCCACAAACAAAAATGAATTCTACAAGTTATGTGTGCACATATGTTACATATTGTCTTAGGGTTCCTATTGCTGTGATGAGACACCATGAGCACAGCAACTCTTATAAAGGAAATCACTTAAGAGGGTGGCTTTACAATTCAGAGGTTCAGTCCCTTATCATCATGTTGGGACATGTCAGCATGCAGTCAGACATGGTGTTGGAGAGGTAGCTGAGAGATGTACATCTTGTGCAGGCAACAGGAAGTAGTCTGTCTCACTGGCATGGCTTGAGCATACATGAGACCCCAAAGTCCACCTCCATAGTGACATACTTCATCCAAAAAGGCCATGCCTATCACAACAAACACACCCCCAAATAATGCCACTCCCTAGGAGCTTATGGGACCCATGAGAATTCAACCATAGACCACCACAAGGGAAGTAACATGGCACCACAGGAAAACTCCAACTGTGATTCTTGCAAAACAAAGACATGGGGTACACTAAGATAATACTGAAGTGCTGTCCTGCTTCGTGGGAAGAAAGAGTTCCGTGTGTCCTTGTTACTTGTTCTTGCCTTGGGGAGTACCAGGTCCCTGAATGAGCATGGCATACATCTGGCCTCCATGTGCAGGGGACAAGGGCCTCTTTCTGGACTTAGGGTAAGGACATTCCTGTGATTCTGAGGAATGGCCAGTGAACAAAGAAGTGACTTTTGTGGCCTTTTCTATTTGGTGTTATGGTATGCCTCTTGTCTGGATGTACATCTCTCTCCCTTGTGTGTGGAAATTTTCTTCTATGATTTTACTGAACATATTTTCATATTTTGGCAAGAAGGATTCTTCACAGTTTTCTATTACCATGATTCATAGTTGGATATTTTTCATGGTTTCCCAATGAACTTATTTAGTATGTTCCCTTCATACTAAATAAATTAATTAAATTATCACAGACCTTATATTTGGATGATGAAATTTCTCTTGTCTTGTAGCCCAGTTTTCTATACAACATCCTATTTTTGAGGCTTTCCATTGTGCTTTTAGTTATACTTATATATTTTTCATTTCTAGGATTAATTCACTAGATGCTAGGATTGTTTTATTCTTATGTCTATTAAGTTCTGCTTTCATATCTTGAATTTCTTCCTTAAAATTTTTTGTTTTCTGAATGAATTCAGAAGTTACTTGTACCCAAATAAATTCATTGAATTTATCTGAACATATTCAAAATCAATCTTTGAATACTTTGTATTGAATTGTATTTGTTATTCTTACTGCATGCCACTACTGTGGGATTGGCCATTTTGGGAGGAGACATGTTGCCCTTGGTTTTTCATGGAAATTCTGTTTTTGTAAGGATTTCTCATCCTGATTTAGTTTGTTGGTTGAGTGTTTCTTATACCTTTGTGTTCAGGGAGTGTTTGGATCGGTGCTTGATGTTCCTAGTGTGGTTGTGCTTGGCTCATCTGTGTTTTGATTGAGCTCAGGTGTGGAGACACATAGAGCTGGATTGTAAATTGGATAGGATCCTGGATGATGTAGGAGTTGTATCCCTTCTGACCTTACAAACCAGGCTTCAGGAATTGTGATGGGATATGTGGTGGGGCAGGGTTCAGAATGTCCACATTCTCTGATCTCAAGAGCCAGGTTACATGTATTCCAAAGGTTGTGTGCTTATATCTACATGTTCACATATAGTCTGACCTCATAAACAACTTTGTACACAGTGAAACCATCCATGATGTAGCCACAGTTCTGCCAGCCGCCTAAACTGCTGTTCCTGCCATCACTGTTGCTGCTGACATGTCCCAGGAGTAACTATCTCAAGTCACACGATTTCACTCTTCTGTTTGTATGCTCTCATACAAATTTTTATATAAAATATAAATTATAAATTTTTATATTTCTATAAAATCTAGGAACCAAAAACTTGCTCTTTCTCTTTTTTTTTCTGTCTTGTGACTTTTCATTGAATTTCTAAATTTCCCATTTTTCCATCAACAAGCTTGAAACTTAAATATGAATGAATTTTAACTGGTCATCGAAGGATGAAAGTAGGGAAACTTTTACCACAGTATTTTTTCTTGGCTTTTGGAGACAAAGTTTCTCTGTAGATTTGGAGGTTTTCCAAAAGTGAGTTTGTATTTTCCCTGGGGTAAGGAATTCTGGGAGAGGTGTTGACACCTACAAACCAGAAGGCAGACACTAGTGCCTGGGGATGCCGAAGAGACACACTGTTGCCTGTGGAATAAACACTAGAATGCATAGAAAAGGAGAGGAGCCCAGCCTGGTCCTTAAAGGGAAAGGCACCATTAAACATGAGCGCATACAGTTTGCTTCAGTCTCTTACCCTAACACTAACCTCATCCTAAGTATCCCTAAGGCCACCTAAGCATGTTTCTTTCTGTATTGACATGTTCCAGGGCATTTGTACGTAGGTGCTCTGTGTGCCCTTGTGAGAGTGTGGGTGTGAGGACATGGGCACCTGTCTCTATTTGTGCCTTCACCTCTGGTGACAGTGGTATGGGGTTTTCCCAGGTATAGGGTATCTGTGATCATATCCACATGATGACACACTAGGAAATCAACTGTAGAATGATCTACAAGGAGCAGGTTGAGGAAGTGGGAAGACCCTAAGACAAATTCCTTTTTTCCTGGGATGCCTATGGTATAGAGGGAATAGTTTGGAAAGCTCTTCTAGTTTCTCAAAGCTGAGGGCCTGGCTGAAGTCAGACTTCACAGGTCAGTGTGTGGCATGAACATATAGATGCCATTGTGTCCCATTGTACACATGGAAAGGCAGGGGGAGAGCAGTTGGCAGCCCTCGTCAGTCCCAGAGAGAGCATATGTGGAAGAGTCTCAGGCGGAGGGCCCCAGGAAGTGACCTCACTTCCTTAACAATAGTCCAGATGGAATGTGGAATCTTGGTTACTAGGTAACTGGAGGCTGGCAGCAGCCTCATCTGACTCACTTCTCTGGAGGTGCTTGAACATTCAAGATGTTCTGCTGTTTCCAGGCTTCTGATGATGACTCTGGCCACCAAAGAGCCAAGAGGTGTGTCCTAGGCCACCTTTGGAGACGTTGGGTGCGCCCAATAACCCAATGCCTATGGCGATTTTCCCACAGGGAAACCAAGGTAACCCAAGTCAGCCTGCAGGAAACCTTTCTGGGCCCCCTGATCCACCACAGTCTCTGATGGGGTGTGTGTTCCTGTGAGAAACCTGAGGAACATTCTTCATGTCTGCTTTTCACTTCAGTGTGTGGTAATGGGTTGGTGATGTCTCTGAATTTTTATTTTAAACCCTCCTTCCTTCCTTGGTCTTTCCTCAGAGAAAAAGGAAGCTGAGTAAGTCCCCCAGGTTCAATACTAGAAGCCCCGACTACCTGGAAAACTTTATATCTTGTATTCCAACTGCAATTAAGAACCAGGACATCCTTGAGATATATGTATTTTTGGCTGTCTACCCAAAGTTTGCCACCACCTGGGAGGTGCTGGACCTGATAATGGAAATGTGAGTGCTTATATGCAAGTTCAGGCTCTCAAGCCTCCTGCTCTGGTTTTAGGGAAGCTCTACTCTTCTCTGGGACTGTATGCTCTCCTAGGACAAGGATGATTGTACCCTGGCATCATTGGTCCTGGACCTCGCCCTTCAAAGTGGCATGGCCAGATTTGGTGTGGGGGAGACAACTCTAGATTGTGTCATTTGCCCTCCCTAAGAAGTGTCAGACACTCTCCTTTCTTATGCCTCAAGCAGAGCCCTTGCGCCATTTGTATCAAAGGTTCTAGACATTATCTAGGTTTGATGGGATGAATGGAGCCAGACACAAGTCCCTGGGGGTACCTGTACCCTGTACCAACCAAGAAACCTAGCAGGGAGGAGCTTAGGTTGCATGAAGATCCTTAAAGGGCTGTGAGTTCATTCCCAGACCCTCTTCATGGAAGTCATAATAATGCAAAGAGCCCTCAGCATCCTCATCCTCTTCCTGGCATTTAACTACACCAGATTCCAGTAGTTTCCTCTAGATCTAGTGGTGGATTGGGGACACTTGGACTTAGCAGTGACACCCTCATGGATTGCCACAGGTATGGATCTTTCCAGCCTGACTGTGTGGAGGATCAAGAAACAAAGACGTGAGTGGGCTTGGGTGAGGAGGGAGGTAAGAGCCTGTCTGCACAGTGGGATGTTTGGGGTGGGTAGTGTTCAGGACTACGCCGTTGCCAGTCACCCTGCTCTTGGGATTTCCACTAGAGGGACAGTGCCTGAGACCTCACCCGAAGGGGGAGGAAAACAGAGATTCCCCAATGGTCTCCTTGGTTCTCAGGAGCACAGGGATGGATGAAGCTAAAGGGCCATAGGGGGATCCATCCCCACCACAGCCCAGCCCAGTTTGCCCAGTCTGTTCTCCAAGGGACAGAAAGTGTCTGGGGCCCTCTCTCTATAACCCCACACTCCTGACCTCTATGCCCAGCAACAATTGGGCTGGGCAGCCTTTTCCTCATGTGAGGGACCTCTGCTGTGCTGGTGAAGCAAGGCCAGGCTTCTGACTCTACTTCTTGCCAACCTTCTCTCCCATGCAGTGCCATATTCAGCTTTCTCTCCATGTGGGTCCACACACACCCCCAGGACTTCTGTGATTATCCCGACGTGGCCACAGTGAAGCGGCTGGTGGACTACATAAGGCTCAATGTGCCTTCCTCAGATGTCACTATCCAAACTGAGGAGCTCCTATCAGTGCTGGAGGAGCAGGAATTCGAAAAGGATGAGGAGGCCTCGGGTAGGTGCCTGGGAAGCTAGGAGGTGGTTTTGGTGATGGGTTGTACCAGGGAATTCTCCAGATAGATGCCCTGGCTTGGAAGCAGAGTTGGATGTCAGTCAGGTGAGATGTCCTGTGGTGGAGACAGGGAACTGGGGATTCTCTGATATGAACAGACTTTGTGTGAGCAGCAAGGCCACCTCTGGGAAGCTCATCCTATCATAGAAACTTCTAGGGTACCTCCACTAACAGCCCATCTCTTTCTGTCCTAGATTGTGGCCTCTTCAGGGAAGGAACTCCAGAAGATCCAGTGCTGGATATCTCAGGGATGGAAGAGACTCTGTCTCTGAGAGAAGCTTCGGTGGAAGGGCCACAGGGAGATCTGAAACCCCAAGATGACACTAAACTCATAGACCTGGAAGATGGGGAACCAGATGTGGCAGAAGTTGAACCAGTGCAGCTTCTGTTTTCAGACCAGCCTCTGCCCACATCAGCTGATGCAGAGAAACCTCTAGATGTGGCTGCCTATGTTCCAGCTGTCGAGCAGATATTTGTACTTGGTGTTGTGCAGTTAGGTGACCCAGAGCCCTTTTTCCCTCTGCCTGAAGTTGACATATAGTTGGGTAGTAGAGTTACCCGCTGAGTTCCATCTCAAACCAGCTTCACTTCCCCTCTTTAGAGAGAACATACCTTTAATTTCATTTAATTCTTTTTATTGTTGTTTTCATTGTTAATATCTCCTTTAATTTTGTTTAATTCTTTTTATTGTTGTTTTCATTGTTAATATCGACTTTAATTTTAATTCTTTTTATTGTTGTTTTCATTGTTAATATCGCCTTTAATTTTAATTCTTTTTATTGTTGTTTTCATTGTTAATATCTCCTTTAATTTTGTTTAATTCTTTTTATTGTTGTTTTCATTGTTAATATCTCCTTTAATTTTGTTTAATCATTTTTATTGTTTTTATCGTTACATTATTATGAGTAAAATTATTGTTTACTCATGTTAAATTATATGGTTCAGTGACTTCATGTCTATTCCCCATGTGGTACAATCTACCTGTGCATGACAGCTCTGAGCCAAACATGGGGATCATTGATGAGGACCCTTGGAGGCCATTTATGAAGTAGGGAAACCAAGCAGCTTGTGTGGCAGGAAATGGGCAAATACCAAAAGTTGCAAGAAATATATGCCTGAGAACTGGCATTCATGTTGTCAGTGGTGTACCTAACCCTTGGGGACATAGATTTTGAGCTCAGATATAGCATGGCTCAAGCACACATGTCTACATCTCCCTAGGTTCTGCTCTGTCCAACTGGACAGCAGGGCCATGCAGAGAAGGACAAGTCAGCTTAACTGTAATGGTGTCCACCATTCTCACCAACACAGCTGTGCGCCTACTCTCACTATATCCTGCGATACTTTGTTGCACCCCAGATGGTTGTCATAAAAATTTGTCAGGCTTTACCAGAATTCTAGGGGTGGTCAACAAATGACACAGAAAGTTAGTCCATGGAAAATTTTCACATTAGTCTGTGAGGAATGGATTGGATGCAGTCTTATTGTTCACTGTCTACCAGCAATCCTCCACAAGACAAAGCCAAGGTTCACCATTAAAAACAGGTCACTGCAGTCCGCATCCTGGGCTTGAAACCACATTAGTGTGGAAATAAGCAGATGTGGCCATTCAAGCATCCATTGATTCTGTTACTGCCTTGTTCCCTGATTTCCACAGTGTACCTAATGTTTTCTCCAGAAATATTGAAGGAAATGTAAGCAATGGGTAAGACTTAGAGTGGAAATTATAAAGTAGTTAAAAAAACAAGTCAACAGAAGCTGAGGCATCAGATTTGTGGGTTAAAGGATTAGACCTTTTAAAACTGGTGGCATGGGAATCAATCTGCATATTCCATGCAATTACTATGGACAGAAGTGGGACCGCTTATGTTCATGGTCCTATATGGGTTTTTTGTACACTGAAATCAAAACAGTTCTGGATTATGGGATTTCTGTCAGTATGGTGCTCACTGAGAAGGAGCAGGGACCTGAGCTTGGATCCCCAGCATTTATATTAAAATGGTCATGTGCTTCTGAAGCCCTACATGATTGTGTTTGGTCTTTTGTTTTCAACTCGATACAAGTCAGGGTCAGTTGGGAAGAGGGAACCTAAGTTGAGAAAATGCCTCCATCAGATTGGCCTGTGGGCAAGTCTGTAGAGCATGTTCAAGATTAATCTCTATTTAAGAAGGTCAAGGCCATCTGTTTGGGTAATGCCACCCCTAGACTGGTGGTTTGGAGTGGTATAAAAGATCAGGCTAAGCAAGGCATGGAGAGCAAGCAAATAAGCAGTGTCCTTCATGGAGTCTGCTTCAGCTCCTTCCTCCAGGTCCCTGCTTCCCTTCATGATGGACAGTAGCCTGTAAGATGAGATAAAAAGTCTGTTTGCTGCAGTGGTTTTGCGTTAATATTCTAACACATCAATTGAAAAGAAAACAAAACTAAGACACCATAGGAGATAGCTGGGTCCCCAGAGCTCACTGGTCAGCAATGTTCTCAATTTGTGAGCATTGGATTTAGTGAAGGACTGGCAGAAAAAAATATGAAGAGCAAAACAACAGACAACAGAATAGGGATTAAGGAAGGCACTTGATGTCAAACTCCTGCTTCCAACCACATGAACACAAACACACAAGCACATATACTCATCCACACAACACACAGGTACACATATGCACATGTACACACATACTCATGCATACATACAGACAGACAGACACACACACATGCACACACACACTCACCCCCCACAGACACCAACCAAAACACTGCCAATTTCAAATCACACCTCAAGTAGCTATTACCAGCAAAGTGACAAATTGTAGCACTAATGATGCTGTCATTAAACAGAAAGGCAAATCAGTATAATAGACAGAGGTCATAGAAATGAAGCCACACAGACACAGCCACCTTGCTCTGCAAAAGGATTTTTTGCTTTTATTTATGTCTGTGTGGGGTATATGGCTGCACATGTGACTGCCCTTGGAGGCCATGAGAGGACTTTGGATACCCTGGAGATGGAGCTACAGGTGGTTGTGAGTTGACAGATTAGTTACTGCAGATCAAGCCTGGGTCCTCGACCAGAGCATCAAGTTCTCTTAAACCACTGAGGCATCTCTCCAGATCCCAACATACCTTTGACAAGGATGCCAGAAACATACATGGGAGAAAATTTTTTAGATAAATAGATCTGGATATTCACATGTCATGAATGAAATTCTCACATTTCCTCTGACACAAAGAACATTTTAAACTGAATCAAAGACACTAAGGTCTTTGACACCACTAGAGAAGAAGCTATGCTAAACACCTCACGATATGGGCACATTCAAGAACATTTTGGGAAGAAATCCAATAAACAGAATGTAACCCAAACAATCAAAAAATAGAACTACATGAAATGAAAACCATGCTCCATTAGCAAGGAAGCCCTCAAAGTATAAGGAGACAGACTGGCAAGGGGAGAAAATATTTTCCAACTGCATATTAGTCACACAGATTGATATCTAGGGTCTATAATGAATTTAAAAAGCTAATCATCAAAAAATCTTCCAATCAGTAAATGGATAATGAATTGAACAGAGACCTCTGTAAATTACAAAAAAAAACCCTAATACACATTTGAAAAAAGTTTCAATACCACAGACCACGGGAAATCTAAATTAAAATCGTGTGTTGATTCCATAGTCAGAACTGTCATATTAAATAACAAGATCCACCAGGGAGGATGGGGGAGAGAGCTCTGATACAGTGCCAGTTAGAATGTCAACTGGCATAGCTGCCATGGAATCAATATGGATGGCCTCTAGTGGCTTTTCTCAATGCTATGACAAAATACTTGACAAGTCAACTTGAGGGAAGATGGGCTCCGGTTTCAGGGTTTAGTCCATCCTTGTGGGGAAGGCATGGGGACAATGGGGACAGGTGTCTGAAGTGGTTGGTTATATTGTCTCTTCAGTCAGAAAGCCAATGAATCCTAATGCTTAGCCTTCACTTCACTTTTTTTTTTGAGACAGGGTTTCTCTGTGTAGCTTTGTAGACCAGGGTGGCCTCAAACCCACAGATCTGCCTGCCTCTGCCTTCTGGGTGCTGGAATTAAAGGTGTGCACTACCATCACCCAGCTTCCACTTCACTTTTTTTTTCAAGACAGGGGTTCTCTGTGGCTTTGGAGGCTGTCCTGGACCTCACTCTGTAGACCAGGCTGGTCTTGAACTCACAGAGATCGGCTGCTCATTTCACTTTTTAAGCAGCCAGTATCCCCAGTCATAAGATGGTACCACCCAGACTCAGGGTGGTCTTCCCTCCCCAGTTAAACCTCTCTGGAAGCAGCCTCACAGACACACCCAGAGCTGTGTCTCCTAGGTGATTCCAGGTACAGCCAGTCTGAAGGGGAGATCACTCATCATAGGAGGTTAACAACGACAAAACACTACAGCTGTCATATCATCCACATGAGCCACTCCTAGAGATAAACAAAATGAATCTAAGTCACATTGCTACAATAAATACTTCCATACCCATGTGTGACTGCAGTCACCATAGTACCTCTCGTTGTTACTTAAATAACTGATAAAATTATAAAGAATCATACACTTAATCAGAGCAAAATGTAATTGATGGAGTTTGGTGACAGAGAAGATAAATTTCCATATTTCAGTCACAGACATATGATTTCCTTTACATTACACTGCTAAGTATGCTATGCACAGACATTGAGCCCATTCAGTGAATGTAGGAAATTCTTAACCATTCATCAAGGACAGTGAATTAGTGTGTCGTCATCTGGGTAATTTACTCAGAAGGTAATTTGCCTTCATTCAAAGGTAAATTTGAGTCTAGATGTTCTGGAACACAAACTCCTTAGTAAAATATTTATTGAGCACCTGATCAAAAAATCACACTGTCTCCATTCATTTTTGCTCTTTATTGATTTAAAATCCAAGCAAAAGGGAAGGCTTAGTGAATATTAAGGACCCAAGTACATACTGTTTTGAAAACTTTATGCAGACAAGACAAAAGCCCCCTCAGCTCATACTTGGCTCCAGATAGTTCATTTGCCTGGAGACTCAATTATTAAGCACGGAATGAGCATATTCTTTCCATTTTTATTAGTTAGAGAAAACTTAGTCGAGAAAATATGGTTCATAAGGTTCCACAGAACCTCCTACATGCTGGGATTACAGGTGTGTGCAAACTCCTAAATGCTGGGATTGCAGGTTTGTTCTATCTTCTAAAGGCTGAGATTACAGGTGTGTGCTACCTGTTACAATAAAGCGCAAGAGGAACCTTGCGTGGGGACCTTGGCAGAGGATTCCATGGCGGGCGAGGGTGACAAACATGCCAAGCAGACAGAGCTTAGTGAGAAGTTTTATTAAACAGGAGAGGGAGGGGGAAAGAAAGAGAAAAAGAGATAGAAACAGAGACAGAGGACAGAAGAGAAAAGGGAGAGAGGAAAAGTTCTGGCTGCGCCAGGGGAACATCAGGAAAGAGAGAGGGAAAGAGAAGAGCAGAAAAGACAGGAGAGCAGAAAGAAAGTGTAAGTGGGCAGGGGTCTTTCTTTT